TGGCCTTTCTTCTCAGAATGCAATTGAAGCCATGATTGTCTCAGTTTTATAAATCTATCTGTATGACCAACACAATTTATCTTTTGTTTGTTTGTTTTTACTGAAGTATAATTGATTTACAAAACTGTGTTAGTTTCAGGTGTACAGCATAGTGATTCAGTTACATATATTTTTTCAGGTCCTTTTCCACTATAGGTTATTACAAGATACTGAACATAGTCTCCTGTGCTATAAAATAAATCCTTGTTGTTTATCTATGTTATACTTATTACTGTGTATCTATTAATCTCATGCTCCTAATTTATCACCTCCCCTTTCCCCTTTGGTAACCATAACTTTGTTTTCTATGTCTGTGAGTCTGTTTCTGTTTTGTAAATAAATTCACTTGTGTTATTTTTAGATTCTACATATAAGTGATATGATATAATATTTGTCTTTCTCTGTCTGACTGACTTCCCTTAGTATGATTATCTCTAGGTCTATCCATGTTGCTGCAAATGGCAATATTGCATTCTTTTTTATGACTGAGTAATATTCCATTGTGTATATATTCCACATTTCTTTATCTAGTCATCTGTTGGTGGACATTTAGGTTGCTTCCATGTCTTGGCTATTGTAAATAGTGCTGCTATGAGCACTGAAGTGTATGTATTTTTCTAAATTAAAGTTTTCATCTTTTCTGGATATATGTTCAGGCATGGGATTGCTGGATCATACAGTAGCTCCATTTTTAGTTTTCTAAGGAAACTTTATACTGTTCTCTGTAGTGGCTGTACCAAATTACATTCCCACCAACAGTGCAGGAAGCTTCCCTTATCTGCACACCTTCTCCAGCAGATACCACCTCTGTATTACTCCACTCTACCAGCTGAGCTATCAAGAGTGCGTCCAGCAGTAATTATTTGCAGAGTTTTTGACAATGGCTATTCTGACTGGTGTGCGGTGATACCTCATTGTAGTTTTGATTTGCATTTCTGATAATTAGCGATACCGAGCATTTTTTCATGTGCCTGCTTGTATGACCAACACAATTTCAAGTGATGCAAAATAAGCTGAACAATGCAGACAAGGGTCCATGACATCATAACACAGACTTCATAGAAAGACTTCCTGGTGCAAGAGACGCAGAACAGACAAATCCACTTAATCTTCCTTGGAGATCTGCACATTTTCCCACGTTTCGGCCAGGAGGAACAGCCCCTCGTACAGCTAAGGACAAAATAAGGTGAACAGGAAGGAAGCAGCTGGTGCAGTAAATACTCACTGACCCGTGGCCCCGGGGAGGAGGTTTTTGTTCGAGGCTGAATCACTGTGAGTGGAGCACTATAACCCTGCTGGCAGTAATACACTGCCACGTCTTCAGGCTGGAAGCTGCTGATGGTAAGAGTGAAATCTGTTGTGGACCCACTGCTGCTGAATCGATCAGGGACCCCCGATTCTCGGGTGGATGCCCAGTAGATGAGCAGCCTAGGAGACTGTCCAGGTCTCTGCTGGTACCAAGCTAAGTAGTTTTTCTGGTTGGAGCTGTATAACACACTCTGGCTGGACTTACAATTGATGGTGACCTTCTCTCCTGCAGACGCAGTCACGGAGCTGGGAGACTGGGTCATCACGATGTCCCCAGAGACACCTGCAATCATAACAGACAGTGACCATACATTGCATCATTAATATATTGAAATATACATCTTAAATATGTAGGTTTTCTTACTTATCTAAAGTAATGAGACAGTTTTAGATGAAATGCTATATTTATTCTGCATGTAAAAATCATTTTCCAATTTTATAAAGGTATTTCTCCTCTAAACCTCTCACCTGAGACCCAGAGCATCAAGAAGGTGAGGAGGTGTGGCTGTGGCCCCATCTTGCTGCTGCTCACCTGTCTGGTGCACTCAGGCCGCGTCTCCAGGAAGCCCCATTAATAAGAGCTCTGAGCAGCCAGCCTAGGACCACTGTTGTCTATGCAAAGCATCAGAGTATGAAACCAAAAGTGCCCGTGCAGTCAGGCGTGAAGGCAAAAAAATGGAAAGGAGACAAAAGTATCATTATCTTAGGAAATGTGATTTCATGACTACAAGAAATCGACTTAAAGCTATAATTTAAATATTAGTGAAATAGGTGAGGGAATTAGAGTAAAATAGGTGAGCAAAAATTTCCAGCTACAAAACAAATGAATCACGGGGTTGAAATGCACAGCATAGAGAATATAGTCAATAATAATGTGGTATCTTTGTATGGCAACAGAGTAAATCTAGACTTGTCCTAGTGTCCTAGTCATTGTTTAGTGATGTATAGAAATACTGAATTACTCTATTGTACACCAGGAACTAACATGGTACTGTAGGTCAATTATACTTCAAAAAGGAAACAAACAAGCTCTTAGAAATAGAGATCAGATCTGTGGTTCCCAGAGGCAGAGAGTGGATGAAATGGTCAAAAAACACAGACTTCCAGTTACAAGCACTAGGGATGTAATGTACAACATGACTAATATCATTACCACTTCAGTGTATTATATGTGAACATTGCGAAGCGAATAAATCCTAGGAATTTTATTACAAGGAAAATTTTTTTAATGTTGCATGTATATGAGATGATGAGTGTTCGCTAAACTTACTGTGGTAATCAAGTCAAATCGTTACGCTGTACACCTTGAACTTACCCAGGGCTCTGCGTGAATTATATCACAATAAAGCTTCAAGAAAAAAAATCATAACTTTCAATACAGTCCAGCAAGTTTTCAAATCGTAAAATATTCTTAGCATCCACTCTTTTCTTTCAGACCAGATGCAGTCAACATGAACACGTAAGTTTACTCTCACAATGGGACGTAGCTTGTATTTTGAGCATGTGATTTCAGAACCTAATGGAAACATATAAATATGGTGTAAAAACGTGGAATATATTTACGCCACCAAACAGAATGAGGATATAGTGCACAGATTTCTATCTCTATCTCAGACTCTCTTTTGAATTTTAAATTAAGTATTAGAAGTTCCTCTTGTACAGCGCTTAGACATCTCAATATACTCAAAAGCAAACCTCCCCTATTTCCCGCAACACAAATGCTCTCTCAGAAAGTGAGGCGCTAGGTCTTTGTGAATCAGCCTGGTCGCTGCTGTTTTGGTCACCCAGTCTCTCGGATTGCGTGCCCAGTCCTCCCCAAAGTAGCTCTGTCACTAACAGACCTACGGTGTAACAGCACCTCCTGGCGGTAGTTGGTGAAAAGGCTTCAGTTCCTGAGCTCTGCTAAAGCAGTTCGTCGTCACTCTCACATAAAATCAAAAATATTTATAGAATTATGCCAGTAACCGTAGCATAAACTTTCCTAGGCAGAGCACATTTTGAACGAATCGAACAGAACCTCGGGCCTCAGAGAGCTTTCAGTTTAATGGAAGAGTCAGACAATAAGGAAATAAGTAACATTCTTCCTGCGGCCCCTACTCACTCCGTCTGAGATCCCTCCCCCTGAAGCAACGTCATTATTCAAGACGATCGGGGCAATGGGAGTCTAAGTTCATTCAGTGTATATTCATCCCTCAAAATAAACGGAGTCAGAAGAATAGGGAACAAATTGGCGCAATGGGTTGAAAACACGTTTCCTGGAAAAATTCAGTCCATTGTAGTCTCATCAATTGCTAGGTATTCAAATCACCTTTTAAGGATGAACAATGGCCTTTCAATGCATCCTGTCCCTGCAGCATGAAACCACCCAAAGCACAGGTCAGTAACGAGAATAGATATTCTGGCACTGTATAGAAAAATCAAATGTACCCAGTTTTAACAGTTTTATTAAACATGGTAAAAGATGCTCTATTTTTAGTGACTGTCACTTTCTTTTGCTTTACACTTCTCCATTTTTCCTTGGGAAATGAAGTTTTCCTGAGCTAAAGGGCAGAAGGGAGCGTTTAGCCTTTACACCCCTTGAATTTACAGTGACTACTCCCTGAAGCTCTTTATCTTTTCCTCCTATAATCCTAGCTCAGCTCTTCGATTGTGGATGACAGAGTTCATGTGTGTGTTTTTTCCACTAAAGCATCTATGTTACCTTTTCAAAGCTTTCAAAAGCTATCTGGTCAGCTGCTTTTAGAAATGCCGATTGCAAGCCAATGTACAGCAGACTAGCCTCTCAGAGAAGCCGTTTACTTGACTGCAATGATCTGCAGTGACCTGTCAAAGGATGCTCATTTCCTAAGCTTAACCACAGGGAGGGAATCTCAGATATCTGATGGAATGTGAGGAATGGACATCACGTATGATCAAGAAGCACGTAGGCAGTGGGGTGGGAAGGAATAAACAGGGAGTTCGAGATTTGCAGATACTGACTGGTATATACATATATAATACACAAACAAGTTTATACTGTACAGCACAGGGAAATATATTCAGTATCTTGTAGTAGGTCACGGTGAAAAAGAAAACTACAAGGCACTGATGAAAGAAATTGAAGACATATGAACAGATGGAAAGATACACCGTGTTCTAGGACTGGAAGATCAATACTGTTAAAATGACTGTACTGCCCAAGACAATTTACAGAGTGAACACAATCCCTATCAAATTACCAATGGCATTTTTCACAGAACTGGAACAAAAAATTTTTAAATTTGTATGGAAACACAAAAGACCCTTAATAGTCAAAGCACTCTTGAGAAGGAACAGAGCAAGAGGAATCAGGTTCCCTGACTTCAGGATGTCCAATCTATGAAGCAATACTTTTAGTCCACGTGACATGCCCTGTGTTTTCTATTCTGCCATGAGAATGTCTGGACCATTGGGTGGAGAGCATCTTGCTGGATCCAGCTATGATTTCTGAACGATGAAGATTCATGTAGATCTCTGTGTGGCATTAATACAGCTGTTCCCTTGAAATGTAGAGAAAGTTTGGGAAAGCCATAGAATTTAACTTCTTTAGGGAAAGGAGCAGATTTATAGGAAATAAGAATCAGAACTAGAGAATGTAACCTAAAGAGCTGCTCAGTCTATACAAGGCAACATTCCCGGACCAGGCACTCACTACCCCATGTGCACAATTCAGAGGAATGCAAGGATATCCAGGTTGGACTCCGTGTAGGTCAGGGGTGTGAACATAGGTTTCCTACATTGTTAAGGAGAGAAGGACCTGAGTCTGGGTTAGATGGATGCTTTGGGCAGAATGGTGTGGGGTAGAGAATACAGACTCACCCAAAGAAGAGTTCTCTGCCTGCATGAACAGTGCCATTGTCTGTCTTCATGATGTGGCATCAGTACCGTGGGGGTCAGAGCCAGGGTCCTGCTCATCTATGCAGCTGTGGTCATCTTCCCAACCATGTTGTTTGGCCTAACTTGGTGTTATTCTTTGCTAATTCGAACAAAGAATAAGGTGACTTCTTGGGAAGTGCCCTCGGGAAATATCACTAAGCAAGCAAATGAAAGGTGTATCTGAAAGATAAAGTTCTGATAAACTCCTCCAATCCGTGATTCAATCATGCATCAAGGGAGACAGCTAGGCAACTTACTGGTAGAAAGAGGAAAACAGAACCATGGATATCTAATTTTGTTTCCAACAGGCTTATAGCAAACACCGTATCTCTGAATCTAGGGGAATAATGAAGTGGGAGGACACAGGAAGGAAATTCTGTGACCAAAGGAGAAAAATTCACCCCTCAGATGGAGTCAACAGGCTTTTCTGACATTACCGCCTGGGGATGGGTGCTCAAGTGTAGAGAAGAGGAGGCATGTGTTCTCTGCAGCTAGAAGCCCAGCTCCCCGACCCCAGCTGCTTTGCCTGCGTCTCCCAGCCCACCCTGCTGTCCAGAGCACATATCTATGCTTGAGTCAGTGCTGTGAGGATGATCTGCCTCAGATCTGCCTCCGAGTGGATCATGGAAGCCCCAGCTCAGCTTCTCTGCCTCCTGATACTCTGGCTCCCAGGTGAGAGGAGCACGGGCTGGTTCTGCACGTCCGCAAGAACTTTGCCCATGCCGTTGGGTCCTGCGCGTTTGCTCAGCAAGCACGATAATTAAAGCTCAAAGTAGATCGCCGATCCTAGCGCTGCTGGGAAGACAACAGATATGATCTAGATGATCTGAATGACTTTTCTATTTTATTTCCTATCCATCAGGGCCACCAGTGTCCCAGCCCGGTTCAGTGGCAGTAGGTCTGGAACAGACTTTACTCTGCCCATCAGCAGCCTGGAGCCTGAAGATTTTGGCAGATTATCGCTGCTATCAGCATTCTGCGGTGATTCAACATGAAACAAAAACCTCCACTAACCTTTGAGGGTTTTTGATGGTGCCGTCTGTTTCCTTCATAAGCAGCTGCTGGGTGGTTGCTCAGTTTTAGCACATCTACCTCGATTTGGAAATCTTGAAGTTCTGAACAGTAGGCCAAATGGACATAGTTGATATTTACAGAGCATTCCATCGGAGAGGTCATAGTGCCAGCATCGCTGTTTGAGGGTGAGGACCTGTCCCCTTGAGAAAGGAGCCCCTGAAAGTTTGCCATGGGTGTGTGGAGAACACTTGCTCCAATACGTCCCTAAAGGAACTCAGGGCAATTTGCTCAGGCAAATGTGAACTAGGGAAAGGAAAACAGCCACATCTTCCCAGCAGCGTAAGTTCTCTAACTTTGCCCAGTATCTGCCAGATACCATGTCTGATAAAAGCTGCTTATTTAAAATCGACCAACACTTCTCAGTCTGCATAGTATGGATTATGAAATTACTATGCATTTTTACCTCTATTGACTTTCATTATTATGTTTCCATCCTCTGTTAGCTGTAGGCCCAGTTTCTTTAATAGACATAGGACATTTTCCATTTTCAATTTTTCGTATGTCTATTTTTGGCAAATTTTGCACATGCGTGCATGTACGTTACTCTCTTTTCCCTGTAGATTTTTATATTTTGGGCCTAAAATTGTTTATAGGGTCTCCTTAACTTTTTCATATCTGTAAGCAATAAGCAAGCTTCTGATCTGTCCATTGTTA